GAGCGCTTTACTGCGTGGAGGAAACCTTGAAATGGAGCACGGATGACACGGTTCTTCTGTCTCAATGCGTCGATGGACAGTGGACTACGCCCGAAGCCACGTGCAGTACAGGTATGGGGGTGGGGTGAGGGGGCAGGGCAGGATAAGAGAGGAAAGAAGAGAGGTGTGGGTTATGGATAAAAGAAATGGAATTGAGAATGAATATCTTCGCAGATTCAAGAGAAAGGGTTAGATCGGTTTCGACTATATTATGCACATCTCTTGCGTTATGAGGATATTTATTCTTCTATATATATATATATATATATATATATATATATATATATATATATATATATATATATTTTTGTTTTTTTTACATTTGTCGCAATGAACAATCCTCACTTGTGGAATGTTTGTGTCATGATGCTTTTAATGTGTTGAAGATAATCGTTCCAGTATGATAGAGATGATGATGATGGTGATGATCATGGCAGTAATAACAATATTAATAATAATTATAACAACAAAACAGCAATAATATTAATAATAATGATGATAGTCATAATATAAAAGATAATAGTAATAATAGGGATGATAGTAATAGTGATAATGATTAAAACAATAATGATGATGATGATAATAATAATGATTATAATGATAATAATAATAATGATAGTAATGGTAGTAATAATAATGATAACAAGGACAATATTAGCCTCAAAAGAGAAATCTAACTGTATATTAGGCAGTGAAATTGTATATTCATTGGACATACATCGACATACATACATGAATGCAAAATTGTTTGCAAAAGCCATATGGACAGAATTCAAGGCAAAGGGTGTGGGAAATCCAACCTCATTGAGGAAAAAAATAAATAAAATATAAATGACAATAAACTAATAAACAAATAAAAAACAATAACATTATAGTGTGATGGTGATCACAAAAAAGTCTGTGAATAACATCAATAAGAATATGTAATATTAAGATGATGATGCTAAGAACAAGGACAACAGCGGTAGTAAAGGTAGTGGTAGTCAGAGGAGCAATATTAATTCTACTATCAACATCATTATCCTCATCACCATCATTATCTTCATTATCTTATCGTTGTTTTATTATTATCATCATTAGTTGTTGTAATATTACTGTTATTATTATCTTCGTCACTATCATTACCATTATCATTATTATTATTATTATCATTTTTATCTCTACTATTGCTTTTATCATCAACATAATGATGATGAAAATAATAATGATGATAATGCTAAAGATAATGACTGTACCACTATTACTACACATTAATGATAGTGCCAATATTGATGATAATAATAATAATAATCATAACAATAATAATGATGATAATCATCATTATGATTAATACTATCGTTAGTAATATTAGTACTAGTATTAGTATTGTCTTCATTATCATCATCATTGTTATTATTTCTTGTCATCACCATTCTTATTCTCCTGTTGTTCTTGTTCTCATAATTCTTTGTCATCATCATTCTCACCACCATTATCATTATTCTTTTTGTTATCATCATCACAGCACCTATATTTTTTTCAGTTATTATCATCATCATATAATTTCACAGCACTTATAATCATAAAAACCTCATATCATTCACGGCACATGATCAAAACATTTCCGAAGGTCACAAACCTCCCACCACCTACTGAAAGCTCTCTACCCCCTTTCGCGACGCCCAGCGAGGGAGCCCGTAGCCTGCGACTCGCCCTTCCCGCGTCCCAACAGCACTGAGGAGCCGACGGAGATCCGACACGAAACGTCCAAGGCGGTCATCGCGGTCTATTACAGCTGCTCGTCCCCGGGTGCCTGGCTGTCCGGTGCCCACGGTCGGGTGTCCCAGTGCCATAACGGGCAATGGACGCCGGTTCATGATATCTGTGATAGTGGTAGGTGGTTTGCGTTTTATCCGTTTGGTGAAAGAGTTGTGTGGTGTGTATGGTAAGGGGAGAAGATGTCTGTTTTATGTTGTTGTTGTTGTTGTTGTTGTTCTAAGACCGTGTTCGAGACAAAAAAAGAAAGGCGCATATTTTGTGTCTATCGTAGGTCAACGTAAATCGCATTCTGAAATTTGGGTGAATAGTAAACGAGAGAGAAAGTACAATAGGTGTTCTTTTTCAGTCTTCAACGAGCTTCTGCAAGACCACTTAATTTGTCCAAGTTTTAACCGGTCTTTCTTACTCAGAGAAGAAAAAGGACGGTATAAGCACAAGTAAACGAAGCAAGAAAAACAAGAAATAGAAAATTGTGGCTGCTGCATCTGTTTAATTTTATTTAATTACATGTAAACTGGATTTGTCCGAACGATTAAGTCCGTTCCACTTCCGCAGTTTGTTCGATTCCTCGCGACTGCTACGAAGTGGCCGACTTGGGATTCAACACCACTGACTTGTACATCATCGTTCCGGACGGAGAATCCTATGAAAATAGCGTTGAGGTACAGTTATCGCCAAAAGACTATTTCAAACTTGTCTCCGC